CCTACTCACTCACCTACTCACTCACTCACCTACTCACTCACCTACTCACTCACCTACTCACTCACCTACTCACTCACCTACTCACTCACTCACCTACTCACTCACCTACTCACTCACCTACTCACCTACTCACTCACCTACTCACTCACCTACTCACTCACCTACTCACTCACCTTCTCACTCACTCACTCACCTACTCACTCACCTACTCACTCACCTACTCACCTACTCACTCACCTACTCACTCACCTACTCACTCACCTACTCACCTACTCACTCACCTACTCACTTACCTTCTCACTCACCTACTCACTCACCTACTCACCTACTCACTCACCTACTCACCTACTCACTCACCTACTCACTCACCTACTCACTCACCTACTCACTCACCTACTCACTCACCTTCTCACTCACCTACTCACTCACCTACTCACTCACCTACTCACCTACTCACTCACCTACTCACTCACCTACTCACCTACTCACTCACCTACTCACTCACCTACTCACTCACCTACTCACTCACATACTCACCTACTCACCTACTCACTCACCTACTCACTCACTCACCTACTCACTCACCTACTCACTCACCTACTCACCTACTCACCCACTCACTCACCTACTCACCTACTCACTCACCTACTCACTCACCTACTCACTCACTCACCTACTCACTCACCTACTCACTCACCTACTCACTCACCTACTCACTCACCTACTCACTCACTCACCTACTCACTCACCTACTCACCTACTCACTCACCTACTCACTCACCTACTCACTCACCTACTCACTCACCTTCTCACTCACTCACTCACCTACTCACTCACCTACTCACTCACCTACTCACCTACTCACTCACCTACTCACTCACCTACTCACTCACCTACTCACCTACTCACTCACCTACTCACTTACCTTCTCACTCACCTACTCACTCACCTACTCACCTACTCACTCACCTACTCACCTACTCACTCACCTACTCACTCACCTACTCACTCACCTACTCACTCACCTACTCACTCACCTACTCACTCACCTACTCACTCACCTACTCACTCACCTACTCACCTACTCACTCACCTACTCACTCACCTACTCACTTACCTACTCACCTACTCACTCACCTACTCACTTACTCACTCACCTTCTCACTCACCTACTCACTCACCTACTCACCTACTCACTCACCTACTCACCTACTCACTCACCTACTCACTCACCTACTCACCTACTCACTCACCTACTCACTCACCTACTCACTCACCTACTCACCTACTCACTCACCTACTCACTCACCTATTCACTCACCTACTCATTCACCTACTCACTCACCTACTCACCTACTCACTCACCTATTCACTCACCTACTAACTCACCTACTCACCTACTTACTCACCTACTCACCTACTCACCTCACTCACCTACTCACTCACCTACTCACTCACCTACTCACCTACTCACTCACCTACTCACTCACCTACTCACCTACTCACTCACTCACTCACCTACTCACTCACCTACTCACTCACCTATGCACTCACCTACTCACTCACCTACTCACCTACTCACTCACCTACTCACCTACTCACTCACCTACTCACTCACCTACTCACTCACCTACTCACCCACTCACCTACTCACTCACCTACTCACTCACTCACCTACTCACTCACCTACTCACTCACCTACTCACCTACTCACTCACCTACTCACTCACCTACTCACCCACTCACCTACTCACTCACCTACTCACCTACTCACCCACTCACCTACTCACGCACCCACTCACCTACTCACTCACCTACTCACTCACCTACTCACTCACCTACTCACCCACTCACTCACCTACTCACTCATTCACCTACTCACTCATTCACCTACTCACTCACCTACTCACTCACTCACCTACTCACTCACCTACTCACCCACTCACTCACCTACTCACTCACCTACTCACCCACTCACCTACTCACTCACCTAGTCACCTAATCACTCACCTACTCACCTACTCACTGACCTACTCACCTACTCACTCACCTACTCACTCACCTACTCACCCAATCACTCACCTACTCACTCACCTACTCACCCACTCACTCACCTACTCACTCACCTACTCACTCACCTACTTACCCACTCACCTACTCACTCACCTACTCACTCACCTACTCACTCACCCACTCACTCACTCACCCACTCACTCACTCACCCACTCACTCACTCAGCCACTCACCCACCCACTCACTCACCCACCCACTCACTCACTCACCCACTCACTCACCTACTCACTCACTCACCTACTCACTCACTCACCCACCCACTCACTCACCCACCCACCCACTCACTCACTCAGCCACTCACTCACCCACCCACCCACTCACTCACCCACCCACTCACTCACCCACCCACCCACTCACTCACCCACTCAGTCACTCAGTCACTCACCACCCACTCACTCACCCACTCACTCACTCACCCACCCACCCACCCACTCACCCACCCACTCACTCCCTCACTCACCCACTCACTCCCTCACTCACCCACCCACCCACTCACTCCCTCACTCACTCACTCATCCACCCACCCACCCACTCACCCACCCACCCACTCAGTCACTCACCCACCCACCCACTCACCCACCCACCCAGGTATCTCTCTCTACTTCTGACTATCTCTCTGTGTGTCTGTGTGTGTGTCTATGTGTGTGTGTGTCTGTATGTGTCTATGTGTGTGTGTCTATGTGTTTGTCTATGTGTGTGTGTGTGTCTATGTGTGTGTGTCTATGTGTGTGTCTATGTGTGTGTGTCTATGTGTCTGTGTGTGCGTGTGTTGATGTGTGTCTATGTGTGTGTGTCTATGTGTGTGTGTCTATGTGTGTGTGTCTATGTGTGTGTGTGTCTATGTGTCTGTGTGTATGTCTATGTGTGTCTATGTGTGTGTGTGTGTGTCTATGTGTGTGTGTCTGTGTGTGTGTGTCTATGTGTGTGTCTATGTGTGTGTCTGTGTGTCTATGTGTGTGTGTGTCTATGTGTGTGTGTGTCTATGTGTGTGTCTATGTGTGTGTGTCTATGTGTGTGTGTCTATGTGTGTGTGTCTATGTGTGTGTGTGTCTATGTGTGTGTGTCTATGTGTGTGTGTCTCTATGTGTGTGTGTCTGTGTGTGTGTCTGTGTGTGTGTCTATGTGTGTGTGTGTTTATGTGTGTGTCTGTGTGTGTGTGTGTGTCTATGTCTATGTGTGTGTGTCTATGTGTGTCTGTGTGTGTGTCTATTTGTTTGTCTATGTGTGTGTCTGTGTGTGTGTGTGTGTCTAAGTGTGTGTGTGTCTATGTGTCTGTGTGTGTGTCTATGTGTATCTGTGTGTCTATGTGTGTGTGTGTCTATGTGTGTGTGTCTATGTGTGTGTGTCTATGTGTGTGTCTATGTGTGTGTGTCTATGTGTGTGTGTCTATGTGTCTGTGTGTGTGTCTGTGTGTGTGTCTGTGTGTGTGTCTATATGTCTCTGTGTGTGTCTATGTGTGTGTGTGTGTCTCTGTGTGTGTCTATGTGTCTATGTGTGTGTGTCTATGTGTCTATGTGTGTGTGTGTGTGTCTATGTGTGTGTGTGTGTGTCTATGTGTGTGTGTGTCTATGTCTATGTGTCTGTGTGTGTGTCTATGTGTGTCTATGTGTGTCTGTGTGTGTCTATGTGTGTGTCTATGTCTATGTCTATGTGTGTGTGTGTCTATGTGTGTGTGTGTCTGTGTGTGTGTGTGTCTATGTGTGTGTCTGTGTGTGTGTGTCTATGTGTGTGTGTCTGTGTGTGTGTCTGTGTGTGTGTCTGTGTGTGTGTCTATGTGTGTGTGTGTCTGTGTGTGTGTCTATGTCTGTGTGTGTCTATGTGTGTGTGTCTATGTGTGTGTGTGTCTGTGTGTGTGTGTCTGTGTGTGTGTGTGTCTATGTGTATGTCTATGTGTGTGTGTCTATGTGTGTGTGTGTCTGTGTGTGTGTCTATGTGTGTGTGTGTGTCTATGTGTGTGTGTCTATGTGTGTGTGTGTCTATGTGTCTGTGTGTATGTCTATGTGTGTCTATGTGTGTGTGTGTCTATGTGTGTGTGTCTGTGTGTGTGTCTATGTGTGTGTCTATGTGTGTGTCTGTGTGTCTATGTGTGTGTGTGTCTATGTGTGTGTGTGTCTATGTGTGTGTCTATGTGTGTGTGTCTATGTGTGTGTGTCTATGTGTGTGTGTCTATGTGTGTGTGTGTCTATGTGTGTGTGTCTATATGTGTGTGTGTCTGTGTGTCTGTGTGTGTGTCTGTGTGTGTGTCTATGTGTGTGTGTGTTTATGTGTGTGTCTGTGTGTCTGTGTGTGTGTGTGTGTGTCTATGTCTATGTGTGTGTGTCTATGTGTGTCTGTGTGTGTGTCTATTTGTTTGTCTATGTGTGTGTCTGTGTGTGTGTGTCTAAGTGTGTGTGTGTCTATGTGTCTGTGTGTGTGTCTATGTGTATCTGTGTGTCTATGTGTGTGTGTCTATGTCTATGTGTCTATGTGTGTGTGTCTATGTGTGTGTGTCTATGTGTGTGTCTATGTGTGTGTGTGTCTATGTGTGTGTGTCTATGTGTGTGTGTCTATGTGTCTGTGTGTGTGTCTGTGTGTGTGTCTGTGTGTGTGTCTATATGTCTCTGTGTGTGTCTATGTGTGTGTGTGTGTGTCTCTGTGTGTGTCTATGTGTCTATGTGTGTGTGTCTATGTGTCTATGTATGTGTGTGTGTGTGTGTATGTGTGTGTGTGTGTGTGTCTATGTGTGTGTGTGTGTCTATGTCTATGTGTCTGTGTGTGTGTCTATGTGTCTATGTGTGTCTATGTGTGTCTGTGTGTGTCTATGTGTGTGTCTGTGTCTATGTCTATGTGTGTGTCTGTGTGTGTGTCTCTGTGTGTGTGTCTCTCTGTGTGTGTGTCTATGTGTGTGTCTATGTGTGTGTGTCTATGTGTCTATGTGTGTGTGTCTATGTGTGTGTCTATGTGTGTGTGTCTATGTGTCTATGTGTGTGTCTATGTGTCTATGTGTGTGTCTATGTCTCTGTGTGTGTGTATATGTGTCTATGTGTGTGTCTATGTGTCTATGTGTGTGTGTCTGTCTCTGTGTGTGTGTCCCAGGCTAACAGCGGGCCAAACACCAATGGTTGCCAGTTCTTCGTGACGTGTGCCAAGTGTGACTTCCTGGACGGCAAGCATGTTGTGTTTGGTAGGCGTCCGCCTGCGTGCACCTAGCCTGGCACGTGCACCTAGCCTGGCACGTGCACCTAGCCTGGCACACGCACCCCCTGCCTTGCACGTGTGTGTGTGTGTGTGTGCACAGGTGTGTGTGTGTGTAGCCTCTAAAAGGTCCTACTGACAGCACTTGCCCCTACAGCCTGCTAGAGGCTACACGGGGCAGCTTTGTCTGTGTGTAGGTGCCACTGACAGCACTTGCCCCTTCAGCCTGCTAGAGGCTACCTGGGGGAGCTTTGTCTGTGTGTAGGTGCTACTGACAGCACTTGCCCCTACAGCCTGCTAGAGGCTACCTGGGAGAGCTTTGTCTGTGTGTAGGTGCTACTGACAGCACTTGCCCCTACAGCCTGCTAGAGGCTACACGGGGGATCTTTGTCTGTGTGTAGGTGCTACTAACAGCACTTGCCCCTACAGCCTGCTAGAGGCTACACGGGGGATCTTTGTCTGTGTGTAGGTGCTACTCACAGCACTTGCCCCTACAGCCTGCTAGAGGCTACACGGGGGATCTTTGTCTGTGTGTAGGTGCTACTAACAGCACTTGCCCCTACAGCCTGCTAGAGGCTACCTGGGGGAGCTTTGTCTGTGTGTAGGTGCTACTGACAACACTTGCCCCTACAGCCTGCTAGAGGCTACACGGGGGATCTTTGTCTGTGTGTAGGTGCTACTAACAGCACTTGCCCCTACAGCCTGCTAGAGGCTACACGGGGGATCTTTGTCTGTGTGTAGGTGCTACTAACAGCACTTGCCCCTACAGCCTGCTAGAGGCTACACGGGGGATCTTTGTCTGTGTGTAGGTGCTACTAACAGCACTTGCCCCTACAGCCTGCTAGAGGCTACATGGGGGAGCTTTGTCTGTGTGTTGGTGCTACCGACAGCACTTGCCCCTACAGCCTGCTAGAGGCTACCTGTGTCTCTGTCTCTCTGTCTCTATCTGCAGGCAAGGTCGTGGATGGCCTTCTTATAATGCGTAAGATTGAGGTGAGTCTATGGGTCTCTGTGTGGTGAGTCTGTGGGTCTCTGTGTGGTGAGTCTGTGGGTCTCTGTGTGGTGAGTCTGTGGGTCTCTGTGTGGTGAGTCTGTGGGTCTCTGTGTGGTGAGTCTGTGGGTCTCTGTGTGGTGAGTCCTTGGGTCTCTGTGTGGTGAGTCTGTGGGTCTCTGTGTGGTGAGTCTGTGGGTCTCTGTGTGGTGAGTCTATGGGTCTCTGTGTGGTGAGTCCATTTCTCTGTGTGGTGAGTCTGTGGGTCTCTATGAGTGAGTCTGTGGGTCTCTGTGTGGTGAGTGTGGGTCTCTGTGTGGTGAGTCTGTGGGTCTCTGTGTGGTGAGTCCTTGGGTTTCTGTGTGGTGAGTCTGTGGGTCTCTATGTGGTGAGTCTGTGGGTCTCTGTGTGGTGAGTCTGTGGGTCTTTGTGTGGTGAGTCTGTGGGTCTCTGTGTGGTGAGTCTGTGGGTCTCTGTGTGGTAAGTCTGTGGGTCTCTGTGTGGTGAGTCTTTGGGTCTCTGTGTGGTGAGTCTGTGGGTCTCTGTGTGGTGAGTCTGTGGGTCTCTGTGTGGTGAGTCTGTGGGTCTCTGTGTGGTGAGTCTGTGGGTCTCTATGTGGTGAGTCTATGGGTCTCTGTGTGGTGAGTCTGTGGGTCTCTATGTGGTGAGTCTATGGGTCTCTGTGTGGCGAGTCTGTGGGTCTCTGTGTGGTGAGTCTATGGGTCTCTGTGTGGTGAGTCCGTGGGTCTCTATGTGGTGAGTCTGTGGGTCTCTGTGTGGTGAGTTTGTGGGTCTCTGTGTGGTGAGTCTGTGGGTCTCTGTGTGGTGAGTCTGTGGGTCTCTGTGTGGTGAGTCTGTTGGTCTCTGTGTGGTGAGTCTGTGGGTCTCTATGTGGTGAGTCTATGGATCTCTGTGTGGTGAGTCTCTGGGTCTCTATGTGGTGAGTCTATGGGTCTCGGTGTGTTGAGTCTGTGGGTCTCTGTGTGAGTGGTGAGTCTATGGGTCTCTGTGTGGTGAGTCTGCGGGTCTCTGAGTGAGTCTGTGGGTCTCTATGCGTGGGTCTATGGGTCTTTATGCGTGAGTGGTGAGTCTGTGGGTCTCTGTGTGAGTGGTGAGTCTATGGGTCTCTATGAGTGAGTGTGTGGGTCTCTATGAGTGAGTCTGTGGGTCTCTGTGTGGTGAGTCTGTGGGTCTCTGTGTGGTGAGTCTGTGGGTCTCTGTGTGGTGAGTCCTTGGGTCTCTGTGTGGTGAGTCTGTGGGTCTCTGTGTGGTGAGTCTGTGGGTCTCTGTGTGGTGAGTCTGTGGGTCTCTGTGTGGCGAGTCTGTGAGTCTCTATGTGGTGAGTCTGTGGGTCTCTGTGTGGTGAGTCTTTGGGTCTCTGTGTGGTGAGTCTGTGGGTCTCGGTGTGGTGAGTCTGTGCGTCTCTATGAGTGAGTCTGTGGGTCTCTGTGTGAGTGGTGAGTCTATGGGTCTCTGTGTGGTGAGTCTGCGGGTCTCTATGAGTGAGTCTGTGGGTCTCTATGCGTGGGTCTATGGGTCTTTATGCGTGAGTGGTGAGTCTGTGGGTCTCTGTGTGAGTGGTGAGTCTATGGGTCTCTATGAGTGAGTGTGTGGGTCTCTATGAGTGAGTCTGTGGGTCTCTGTGTGGTGAGTCTGTGGGTCTCTGTGTGGTGAGTCTGTGGGTCTCTGTGTGGTGAGTCTATGGGTCTCTATGTGGTGAGTCTACGGGTCTCTGTGTGGTGAGTCTGTGGGTCTCTGTGTGACGGGTCTATGGGTCTCTATGTGGTGAGTCTACGGGTCTCTGTGTGGTGAGTCTGTGGGTCTCTGTGTGAGTGGTGAGTCTGTGGGTCTCTGTGTGGTGAGTCTGTGGGTCTCTATGAGTGACTCTGTGGGTCTCTGTGTGAGTAGTGACTCTATGGGTTTCTATGAGTGACTCTGTGGATCTCTATGAGTGAGTCTATGGGTCTCTATGAGTGAGTCTATGGGTCTCTATGAGTGATGAGTCTATGGGTCTCTATGAGTGAGTCTATGGGTCTCTATGAGTTACTCTGTGGGTCTCTATGAGTGATGAGTCTATGGGTCTCTGTGCTGCAGAACGTTCCCACTGGACCCAACAACCGCCCAAAGCTTCCTGTGGTCGTGGCGCAGTGCGGAGAGATGTGAAGACTTCAGCACACAGCACACACACATAGCATACACATAGCATACACACAGCACACACATAGCATACACACATAGCATACACACAGCATACACATAGCATACACACAGTATACACATAGCACACACACATAGCATACAGCACACACACATAGCACACACATAGCACACACATAGCATACACATAGCATACAGCACACACACATAGCATACACACAGCATACACATAGCATACACATAGCATACACACACAGTATACACACAGCACACACAGTATACACACAGCATACACATAGCATACACATAGCATACACACACACAGTATACACATAGCATACACATAGCATACAGCACATAGCATACACATAGCATACACATAGCATACACACAGCATACACACAGCATACACATAGCATACACATAGCATACACACACACACACATAGCATACACATAGCACACACACAGCATACACATAGCATACACACACACAGCATACACACACACAGCACACACACACAGCATACACACACAGCATACACACACACAGCATACACATAGCATACACACAGCACACACACACATTATACACATAGCATACACACAGCACACACATAGCATACACACACACATAGCATACACATAGCATACACATAGCATACACACACACACAGCATACACACACAGTATACACATGGCATACACATAGCATACACATACCACAAACACAGCATACACACACACAGTATACACATAGCATACACACATAGCACACAGCACACACATAGCATACACATAGCATACGCTTAGCATACACACACAGCATACACATAGCATACACATAGCATACACATAGCATACACACATAGCATACACACAGCATACACACACAGCACACACACAGCACACACATAGCATATAGCATACACATAGCATACACACAGCACACACATAGCACACAGCATACACACAGCATACACATCGCATACAGCATACACATAGCATACACATAGCATACAGCATACACATAGCATACACACAGCATACACACATAGCATACACACATAGCATACACACATAGCATACACATAGCATACACACACAGCACACACAGCACACACATAGCATACACACAGCATACACACAGCATACACGATGGCCGTGTCAGAGACACTGAGAGTCTGGGTTCAATCCCTGGGTCTGGGTGTCTCTATCACGATGGCCGTGTCAGAGACACTGAGAGTCTGGGTTCAATCCCTGGGTCTGGGTGTCTCTCTCTGTCACGATGGCCGTGTCAGAGACACTGAGAGTCTGGGTTCAATCCCTGGGTCTGGGTGTCTCTATCACGATGGCCGTGTCAGAGACACTGAGAGTCTGGGTTCAATCCCTGGGTCTGGGTGTCTCTCTCTGTCACGATGGCCGTGTCAGAGACACTGAGAGTCTGGGTTCAATCCCTGGGTCTGGGTGTCTCTATCACGATGGCCGTGTCAGAGACACTGAGAGTCTGGGTTCAATCCCTGGGTCTGGGTGTCTCTATCACGATGGCCGTGTCAGAGACACTGAGAGTCTGGGTTCAATCCCTGGGTCTGGGTGTCTCTATCACGATGGCCGTGTCAGAGACACTGAGAGTCTGGGTTCAATCCCTGGGTCTGGGTGTCTCTATCACGATGGCCGTGTCGGAGACACTGAGGGTCTGGGTTCAATCCCTGGGTCTGGGTGTCTCTATCACGATGTCCGTGTCAGAGACACTGAGAGTCTGGGTTCGAGCCCTGGGTCTGGGTGTCTCTATCACGATGTCCGTGTCAGAGACACTGAGAGTCTGGGTTCAATCCCTGGGTCTGGGTGTCTCTATCACGATGTCCGTGTCAGAGACACTGAGAGTCTGGGTTCGAGCCCTGGGTCTGGGTGTCTCTATCACGATGGCCGTGTCAGAGACACTGAGAGTCTGGGTTCGAGCCCTGGGTCTGGGTGTCTCTCTCTGTCAGGGGGTTCACGATGGCCGTGTCAGAGACTCCGTGTGGTCCGCATTTTATCCGCCCGTGTTGGTGATTGTGAGGAGCGATGCTTGTAACCCTCCTGTCTTTATAATTCCGTGTTAAAAGGTTCCATCACTCTCCGATCCCTCTCCGTCACCCTGGGTGAGGTCGCTCTGAGCCTCCATTCAGAAACTTTGTTCACCAGCTGCAGGGTCACCACGACAGACGTGGACATCACACGCAGGGCCAGCAGTAGCAGCTCACACCACGTGGCTCAGGTCATAGAGACACACAGAGACCCATAGAGACACACACCCATAGAGACCCACACCCATAGAGACCCACACTCATAGAGACACACAGAGACCCATAGAGACCCATAGAGACACACCCATAGAGACCCACACTCATAGAGACCCACACTCATAGAGACACACAGAGACCCACACTCATAGAGACACACACTCATAGAGACCCACACTCATAGAGACACACAGAGACCCATAGAGACACACACTCAGAGACCCACACTCATAGAGACCCACACTCATAGAGACCCACACTCATAGAGACACACACTCATAGAGACCCACAGAGACCCACACTCATAGAGACCCACACTCATAGAGACCCATAGAGACCCACACTCATAGAGACCCACAGAGACCCACACTCATAGAGACCCACACTCATAGAGACCCACAGAGACCCACACTCATAGAGACCCGCAGAGACCCATAGAGACCCACACTCATAGAGACCCATAGAGACACACACTCATAGAGACCCACACTCATAGAGACCCACACCCATAGAGACCCACACTCATAGAGACCCACACTCATAGAGACCCACACTCATAGAGACACACTCATAGAGACCCACACTCATAGAGACCCACAGAGACCCATAGAGACACACTCACAGAGACCCATAGAGACACACACTCATAGAGACCCACACCCATAGAGACCCACACTCATAGAGACCCACACTCATAGAGACCCGCAGAGACCCATAGAGACACACACTCATAGAGACACACACTCATAGAGACCCACAGAGACCCATAGAGACACACTCACAGAGACCCATAGAGACCCACACTCATAGAGACCCACAGAGACACACACTCATAGAAACCCACACTCATAGAGACCCACACTCATAGAGACCCACAGAGACACACTCATAGAGACCCACACTCATAGAGACACACTCATAGAGACCCACACTCATAGAGACCCACACTCATAGAGACCCACAGAGACACACTCATAGAGACACACACTCATAGAGACCCACACTCATAGAGACACACACCCATAGAGACACACACTCATAGAGACACACTCATAGAGACACACACTCATAGAGACCCACACCCATAGAGACCCGCAGAGACCCATAGAGACCCACACTCATAGAGACCCACACTCATAGAGACCCACAGAGACCCATAGAGACCCACACCCATAGAGACCCACACTCATAGAGACACACACCCATAGAGACCCACACCCATAGAGACACACACTCATAGAGACCCACACCCATAGAGACACACACTCATAGAGACACACACCCATAGAGACCCACAGAGTCCCACACTCATAGAGACCCACAGAGACCCACAGAGACCCACACTCATAGAGACCCACACTCATAGAGACCCACAGAGACCCACACTCATAGAGACCCACACTCATAGAGACCCACAGAGACCCACACTCATAGAGTCCCACACTCATAGAGACCCACAGAGACCCACACTCATAGAGTCCCACACTCATAGAGACCCACAGACCCACACTCATAGAGACCCACACTCATAGAGACACACTCATAGAGACCCACAGAGACACACTCATAGAGACCCACACTCATAGAGACCCACAGAGACACACACTCATAGAGACCCACACTCATAGTGACCCACAGAGACCCATAGAGACCCACACTCAGAGACCCACACTCATAGAGACCCACAGAGACCCATAGAGACCCACACTCATAGAGACCCACACCCATAGAGACCCACACCCATAGAGACCCACACTCATAGAGACCCACAGAGACACACACTCATAGAGACCCATAGAGACCCACACTAATAGAGACCCACACTCATAGAGACCCACACTCATAGAGACCCACAGAGACACATACTCATAGAGACCCATAGAGACCCACACTCATAGAGACCCACACTCATAGAGACCCACAGAGACCCATAGAGACCCACACCCATAGAGACCCACACTCATAGAGACACACACCCATAGAGACCCACACCCATAGAGACCCACAGAGTCCCACACTCATAGAGACCCACAGAGACCCACAGAGACCCACACTCATAGAGACCCACACTCATAGAGACCCACAGAGACCCACACTCATAGAGACCCACACTCATAGAGACCCACAGAGACCCACACTCATAGAGACCCACACTCATAGAGACCCACAGAGACCCACACTCATAGAGTCCCACACTCATAGAGACCCACAGACCCACACTCATAGAGACCCACACTCATAGAGACACACTCATAGAGACCCACAGAGACACACTCATAGAGACCCACACTCATAGAGACCCACAGAGACACACACTCATAGAGACCCACACTCATAGTGACCCACAGAGACCCATAGAGACCCACACTCAGAGACCCACACTCATAGAGACCCACAGAGACCCATAGAGACCCACACTCATAGAGACCCACACCCATAGAGACCCACACCCATAGAGACCCACACTCATAGAGACCCACAGAGACACACACTCATAGAGACCCATAGAGACCCACACTAATAGAGACCCACACTCATAGAGACCCACACTCATAGAGACCCACAGAGACACATACTCATAGAGACCCACAGAGACCCATAGAGACCCATACTCATAGAGACCCGCAGAGACCCATAGAGACACAGAGACCCATACTCATAGAGACCCACACTAATAGAGACCCACACTCATAGAGACCCACACTCATAGAGACCCACAGAGACACATACTCATAGAGACCCACAGAGACCCATAGAGACCCATACTCATAGAGACCCGCAGAGACCCATAGAGACACAGAGACCCATACTCATAGAGACCCACACTCAGAGACCCACACTCAGAGACCCACACAGAGACCCACACTCATAGAGACCCACACTCAGAGACCCACAGAGACCCACACTCATAGGGACCCACACTCATAGAGACACACACTCATAGAGACCCACACTCATAGAGACCCACAGAGACACACTCATAGAGACCCACACTCATAGAGACCCA